CACTTGCAGGAGGCATGCTGGGTCTGGTCTCCCATTAGCCACTATTTTTATTTTGGTTGCTGTTGTAGTAGGTCCCACATGTAAGAGGGGAAGGTGGAGGAGTGAACTCACCACCAACTCAAATGTTTAGAAGTAGGAAAGATGAAAGCTCTCCTAATGAATGAAAGTGGGGATGCATCCAACTTCTTTGATCATGAATACCTCAAGCATTTTGAAAAAGCCCGTCATTGGAATATGCAAGTCAAGTTTTAATAATGTAAAAATCCCACTAGCGTGTGAAAGTGAATAATATGAAAACTCTTTATATAAAATACATGATGCTAGTTTGAAGCACAAGTATGGTAAAGGATAGTAGTGTGTCTGTTCTCTTTTCCTCTCTTTTTTTTGTGGGCAATTTTTTGTGCTCTTTTTTTATTCCTCACCGGTAGGGACACACTCTAAAAATGCATCACACTTTTATTTACTTACAACTCATAATCATGAAACATGATGATGACTACATATGAATACCTCTCGCGGTGTATTAGATGTGCAATGATCTAGCGTAACATATAAAATGGTGATGAACGGTAGCCTTGCCACATATATCATGTCAGCTTTATGATCATGCAAAGCAAAATGACAATAAATGCTCAATTCATATAATGAATAATAACAATGGAAGGTGCATGAAAATATATCTTGAAATGGCTATGAAAATGTCACAATATATAGGTATTATGGTTGTTTTGAGAAAGATATAATGTGGCTTATTTATGAGAGAGTGTATCATCCCACAGGGTTTGAATGTATCAGCGAAGTATGCACCTGTGAAAGATCTACATACCATCTAACTTGTGTTCGTGATTTGTGCTTTTGCCGTATAAGGTGTGGAATAAGAGATAGAAATAATACAACTGACACAAGCTGCCAATACTTGAACGGGGTCCACTTCATCTGTTGGCTAATGTGAGAGAGTGCACACACGGAGAAAGGACAATTGCATGCAGAATCTCTCTCCTCTCTACCTAATCAAAACGAATCATTTTGCTTCTTTGGAATATACTGATTGATTGTTATCTTTTAAACTAAGAAAATATTTTTGAGACTGTATATATATTTGAAGTATTGGCGACAAGACCTTTTAAAACAAGACCATCATGGGTTATATTTAAAACTTGTTTAAATTTCATTATTTATAAATTGATTGAAATAGATTTGAAGTGAAAAATAATTTTAAAATGAGTCCAATTTATTTCATAAATGATTTTAATTATTTCTTAAAGATATGATTTAAGTTAAAAAAATCAAAAAGGTGATTTCAGTTATTGCATTGTTTCAACAAACTATTTCATTTTCGGGGGGAAAATGCTATTTCAGTTGTTTCAAAACATTGAAATGGGTGTTAAATTTACTAAGATATATTTTCAATAAAAACTATCAAATGTTCCAAATAAGTAAAATAGTTTAAATGTGATTCTGAAAAAATCATTATCACTTTATTGAAATAATCATCTCTATTTTTAAGTAACTGAAAATGCGTGTGGAATATATGAAGTTATTGCATTTATGAATATTGAAATGAAACTAGTGTGGGATATCTTGAAATGATTGAAACCATTTTTTTTAAATAACTGGAATTTTTTGTTTGAAAAAAAATGAAACCACTATGTTGAAATATTTGAAATCACTTTTTGTGATTTTTTTAAGTTAATGAAATTAGTGAACTATGTACTTGAATTACATAGATATATGTTTTAGAAAAGTTGAAATAAATGAAATATGTAATATGTGAAAATTTTCTAGTAAGTGAAATTGAAATGTGTACTGAAATTACTGAGGCATATCATTCAAAAATATTTTAAATAAGTGAAATATGCGAGTTGTGAAATATTTCAAGTAAGTGAAACTGAGAAATGTACTGACATATATATAGTTCATAAACATTCCAAATTGGTGAAATATTAAACACCCAAATTGCGCTTATTGTAAATAATCAAAATGTGTTTCTGAAACAACCCTTGTCACTTTTTTAAAATAACCATTATCTCTACTTTCAAATAATTAAACACACCTGTGGAATATCTGAAGTTATTTCATTTATGGAAATCAGGGTGTGAAACTGATTTGGGATATCCTGAAATGATTGACACCACTATTTTAAAATAACTGAAATCATTTATTTGCGTGAAATAGCTGTTTGAAATGACTCATCTGAAATATTTGAAATGACTGGAAATAATGGAAGTTAATGACATAATTGAAATACGTACTTTTTTGTATTTGAGAATCATTGAAATAGGTACTTGAAGTGCCCTCGCATATTTCCTCATGCTAGGACACTGACAGATGGGTCCACGCCACGCACGGCACGTATGCTAGGAATCGAGCTTTGCTACATGGACGAACAATTGCGGATGTTTTACGGCCTGGACGCCCAGCCCACCACCAGCAGTTACATTCAGAGGGGCGATTAATTAAGAGGAGAAGATTATTTAGGCAAATTGATTGAAACAGTACAGCTCAACCTGTCCGTAAGAGCAACTCCAAGGCAGGTAACCATTTTATCTGTCGCCGTCGGTTTGGATCGATGCAGACAAGTGAAGGCCAAACGAGCCAACCCATTCACAAAAGGCGTCCGCTTCATGTCCATGCAGACCCATTTACGGCCCAAATATGCCTCTGCGGTGTTCGTCGCGTCCCCACCTGATGGACACCCAACTTATTAGTGACGACCGCCCACCACGGGCCCATGCGTCAGCGACGACGCTCGGGCTTTTTTAGTCCGAACGTGCAGTGGGGGGTCGTCCTCATCCGCTTCTAGACACCCCGTCCACGTCTCGCCACCCAGTGCTTCCTCGTCGGCGACAAAAGCCTAGCAAACTCTAGCCACCGCAACGGGCCTCTTCTCCGGCAAGGGAAAGGGCCCCGCCATCTCTCCATGCACTCCCCCCCCCTCCCTTCGTCGTCTCCCCGCCGAAGGCAGCGGATCGACATCCAGTGCACCAGACAAAGTGGCACTGAGAGCACCGCGTCCCTCACCCCCTACCCTGACGTCCACGCTCCCACACGACTGGTACTTGGATCCGGAGAGAATCCCAGTGCCGGTGGCGCCGCGGTCAGCGCGGGCGCACGCAGAGGAGGTACAACGCCGGAGGCAGCTGCTGACACCGGAGTAGCGCCAAGAGCCGGCATACGCGTTCGACTCACCGGCGTGGCAGCGGTGGTTCGTCTTCGAGCACGAGGAGGCCAGGAAGCGCCGCGTCCGCGATGTCTCGCATGGCTCCCCGCCGCCGCCCCTCGTAGTGTGCGACGAGGACCAGGTGGCGGAAGCCGCCTACCAAGCGGTGCTGGCGGCTGTCCTTCGGAAGAGCGAGGAGGAGCGATGCAGATAGGAGGAGGAGGAGGTAGCTTACGAGACGCGCATGGCGGAGGTCATGGTGCTGTCCGCGGCCGGCGACTGTGCCGTGCCGTCGCTGGACCTGCCGTCCCAGCCAAGGCCGAGCCGGACCCCCATCGAGTGCTACTCCTGGACCGGAGTGGTGCGCGAATGGGTCAGCGCGCCACCGATCTGGATGAGACGGCCGAGGCGTAGGAGCGCGCCTACCTCGAGTAATAGCTGGACATAGGTGTCTGCTGAACCGATCCAAACGAGTAAAAAAGCAAACAAAATCGTCGTTTGTTTGGGTCGGCACGTTGGAGTTGCTCTAAAGTCTGTGGGCCGGTGCTCGTGTCTAGCATTTTTGCTGGGAACTAGTCTCCCAGCTAACTAACCGATCCCCGTGTCCTCCCCTCCTTCCCTCCCTCCCTCCTCCGTGTCGCCTGTGAGCACCGCACGAGGATGAGGGTGCTGGGCAGGAACGTGTCCCCGAGGCAGATCGCGCTGCTCGCCGCAGGGTAGGCAAGAGGTGCCGGCGCCGCCGCGTTCTGATCTCTCTCGTCGCTCCTCCTCCGTGGATTGATTAATGAATCTGGGTGTATGCTGTATGCAGGCTGGTGTTCTTGGGGGCGACGACGTACGACGTGCACCGCTCCATCAAGAACAACGACCAGCCCCCGACCAGGGAGCAGGTGGCGGCGCTCCAGGACTTCATCGACTCCAGAAAGCGCTAATTTGGATTTTGGGGCCGCCGATGCTCGACCGATTCCCCTGAGCGGCTGCGCGGTGTATATGCTTGTGATCTCTGTTCCGTGGTGCGTTCGTCTGAATCAATAAGAGCGGCCATGGATGTGTCGACATTATTATTATTCCCCAAAGGAGCAACTGGCTGGTGTGTGTGCATGTATGTAAACCGTGTACAGTGAACCAATTTCCGTTTCTCCCATGTTGCATCGGAATGGCTTTGTTGGCCAGTGCTCGTGTATTATTAGTTGTGGAGTTGTGCACATCTACCTCCGCAGTTGCAGCATTTCATATGTGCACATCTACCTCCGCAGTTCCCGTGAAATGCATCAGAGACTCTGGGTAGTTTCTTCAACTAATATTATGTTGTCCGCTTCATGCCAGAGCCATTAACAACAAGCACCTGTAAACCAGCAACGGCCAGCTACAGCGTTGACGTGAATGGAGTTCGTTCTTGGCTTGGCATTGCAAGTTCAATGACCGTTTGACATCTAAGATGTAGTCCATCAGTTACAGCATCAAGAACCAGCTGCGTATCTAAATGGCTGAAGACTTGATTCCCGGATACATTGACTGGAGTCTGGATACTAGACTGTTACACATTCTCTACATCACAGACGACAAAAACTACCATCAATGACAAGTATCAGATGAGTTTGTTCTCAAGTTGGACTCGCAGAGCTAAAGATAATTCGGTAACGACAACAACATAAATATCCCCCAGATAACAAAGGTGGCGACCAACGCACATCTTTCGGCACGCACGTACAAGTATCAGCTGAGTTTGTTCTAGAGCTGCACTCACGGACCTAAAGATAGTCGGTCGCCTGCATCTAACTGTTGCCCACACACATCTTTCGGCAACATAAAGCTTGGGCTGCATGCATGCTTCACCATTTCATGGGCATTTCCTCTGGATATAGGAAACGCCGTGCTCTTCGTACCTGTTCGCGAGAAGATAGATATTGTTAGGCGTATGATACAACAGAGCAGGGCAACCAGACAGAACCTAGAAAATCAAACTTACTCTGCCTTGGAGAACCACATTTGCTGGAACGACCCAAGGGATGCAAGGATGCTCCCTCCAATCCAGACACTGCACTCATCAAATTATAATGTGTAAGTTATGTCAATCAACATCTAACCGATGATGAATCTCAGCACTAGCGGACACACAGACAAAACCAGTCATACGGCATGCATTTTTTCTGTGGTGGCCCTTCCTTATGGTCAAAGATAAGTTTTACTGGCATTGTACTGATCAGCATGCTTTCATCCAATTTCAAACCGATTTCGGGGCCACGACATGTTCTTGCATTAAGCTACTCATGTAATTAAAACAGCAAAAAGAACAGTTTTACTTTCCAATGGCAACACAAGCAATCATTCAAATTCCTCTGCTGCTAACGGGATCCACTGGGCATAGTCAGTTCATACAAACACGAGCAAATATACTGGATCTTACCTGAATCGCCTCTCCGTTGAATTTCCACTTGCCAAAACCTTTACCCGAGCATTTTGAGGGGACTCCTGCGATCATTGAGTTAAAAATAAGAATAAGCTCAGAGATTCAGAAAACACCATCAACTAACCAGCAAAACCAAGACAAAAGAACCATTCTCAACAGCCTTAACCATAGATTCTCCTATTTATGAACAACCATGTAGTGACTAGTCACTAACCAAAAGAATCAATGAGATGCATTTTATTCTTCTATTTTTTAGGAAGGTCACAGAAATAAGGTGGGAAGCTTTGTCTAAAGCATGATTTGACTTCATACAAAGCAAATAAGTTATGCATTGAACTAATAGCAAAGCTTCGAAGAAAACATACATAAACTGAGACATGCTTGGAAACGGTGAAAACATATAAAAATACAACATTTATCCTAGCTTGTTCAGCTGCCTTCTTATTTACCTCCAGTACTTCTTTTTCTAGACGGTCCTTTAACTGCAGAATTGATGATGAGCCACCAGAAAGCTATCCAGAATACAAGTTTGCAGATGTTAGAGTTGTATTAACAAATTATAACAGGAGAATTGAAGATTATGTTATACGAGTTCTTTCACTAAGCCCGTGCATGGGGGCATGTAGAGAGAAGACGCAATGCAGCACTGGAATTAATGTCTTTACCAAGATGCTGCTGAGTAGCTCCTTGCGAATGTCAACATCACACCTATTTACACTTTCAAGGACCTGATGAAAAGCAACGGTGGCAACAACTTCATTAACATGAAGAACTGTCCAAGCTGCACAACAATATAAGCACCCATACTTAACTCACCATTCGTGGAAGTCCACGAATCGAAGTGGAATCTCCAAATCCATCGATCCCAGGAATAGTCTGTTGATAACAAAATTAGTGTGCAGTAGAGAGGTTGAAGACAAGTCAGCTAGGTCCAAAAGAAATTATTCAATATTGATAGCATCCACTGAAGGACACCTTTGATATTTGGGATCAATGCTGCAGAAAGATGGGGATCGATGAAGATGTGAACCATCAAATCAAAGCCGGATGGATGAAGTGGCGTCAAACTTCTGGCGTTCTCTGTGACAAGAGTGCCACAAAAGCTAAAAGGAAGGTTCTATAGGACGGCGATTCGATCCGCAATGTTGTATGGCGTTGAATGTTGGCCGACTAAAAGGCGACATGTTCAACAGTTAGGTTTAGCGTAGATGCGCATGTTGAGATGGATGTGTGGCCACACAAGGAAGAATCGGGTCCGGAATGATGATATACGGGACAAAGTTGGGGTGGCACCAATTGAAGAGAAGCTTGTCCAAAATCGTCTGAGATGGTTTGGGCATATTCAGCGCAGGCCTCTAGAAGCTCCAGTGCATAGCGGACGGCTAAAGCATGTTGATAATGTGAGGAGAGGTCGTGGTAGACCAAACTTGACATGGGAGGAGTCCGTAAAGAGAGACCTGAAGGACTGGAGTATCACCAAGAACAAGCCGTGCGTGGAAGCTAGCTATCCATGTGCTCTACCATGAGTTGGTTGCGAGATTTTATGGGTTTCAGCTCTAGCCTACCCCAACTTCTTGGGACAAAAGGCTTTGTTGTTGTTGTTGTTGTTGATAGCATCTACTGAAGAAGCAATGAACTTGTTCTGTTCCTGGATAGTGTAATCAACCACTAGTACAGATCCTAAACAACTGACATACATGTACACAGCAAATTATACTTTTCTCACTCACCTGAGAAAGGAATGGGTTGAACAAAATGTCAGGAATCTTGAATCTCTCTGCACCAACTTCAATAGTTCTGCTCAGGTATAACATAGATAAGTTATAACCTCTACAAACATAAACAACATATTTACCACAAAATTGCAGTAACAGAAACAGAGAAAGTGGAGACGTCAGAATCATATATAGGTGCATTGTGCAGCCGAAATCAGAATACCATGCATACTTGTAATGGACATGAAAAATCTACAATCGTCATAGTAGCTGCATCATGATATGGTCTACCAGGCTGCAACAACTCGGGGCTATACTAAAATGTGGCACATGCGCAGATACTAGTAAACAGTGACATAGATTTCGCCATTCTATTTTCAGACTTCCTTTTCAATGGATTTTGAGTCGAAACTTTGTGGTTTCTAAACCACAGTATCTCAGTGTTATGATATATTGGTTTTATGTCGATTTGTAAACAACTAAGTTTGTCATGACTATTTGGTGGCCGTACTGAAGAGGGTATGCACAATGGAGTAAGAGGTCAAGACGCATCAGATACGCTCCAGAAAAGTAGCTACTAGCCCATATTTAATATCTAATTGTTAACAAAATAGAATTATTCTGATTGGAGAAATGTGTCTACATAATTGATAACTTACTGCCCGTCTGGAAGCTCGTATGAAGTTGTGGGAACATTTGCATATGCCACTTCTGCATAAAAATAAAGCAGGGAAAGTGAACAGCAGAACCTAAAAGAGGAACTCCAAAGCAAGATAATGCTTAATAAGCATACAAAGAGATATGTCAAATAGTCAAACGAATAAAAATCATGGTGATTAACAGACGATATGCATAAAAAGTAGCCAACTATACTATGGTTGTATGCATATATATAATTCATCAATGGATCAACTGAAACTGGCTTGATCATCAGATTTTGCGTGCATGCCAGTATGGTCCAAGCTTGCGCATCAATATAGCAGAGCTAAACAATCACAGAAATAATGTGTTTTCGAAATGCTATACCATCGAAGGGAGTATCTGGAACTCTACAAACCGTCTCCTTGATGTCGCTAGCAATAGCTCTCTGTGATACAGAAGTAAGCATCACCATTAAATGCATCCAGACAAAAATTAACAAAGCAAACCAAGAATTACAGATTTGCCAATGAACATACCATGTGGTACAACCTGTAACTATCCGTGGTGTTCGGAAAATCAAGGTCTACAACCTGAAAAGATAAACATAGGTTCACAAAATAAACACCACATAGGTTCACAAAATAAACACCACATAGTTTCCCTAATATCCATCTAGTGTAATGCTAATTAAATTAGAATGTAACCATGATTAATTAATTAACACAGCAAGTTCAGAACCTTAGTATCACATAAATACGAAGAAAAACACTAAAGAAATTTTAACGGGCCAGCTATATATAGTCAAAGAATCACCTACTGCGCATGTATCTGTGAATATCGATATGTGCAGGGAGGCGTTACTTCATGATATTGGAAATGCCAAAATAGTATTCGATGTCTACCGAGAGATTTACTCCACGTGGTAAAACTTAATTGGTGCCAGAAACAAACTTGGCAAGGGGGAGGGGTACAGACCACCTTGCAGGCTCTCTCAACTTTTTTTGTTAGAAGACAAGGATGATAGGTATATTGTATATTTTGCCCCTCCTCTTTACTGGTGTATTGATTTCAACTATACCAACAGTTCAGCTCACATTCAATGGAACAAGGAGTTTCAACAAAGGGGCGCATCGAATGGTGTGAAGAGTTATCTCTTGGTCCAAAGGAATCAGCAGACAAGAAAAGGATGTCAATTTCAGATGTAATGTTATAGAAACTACACCTTATAATCTCCAGGGCTCACTTCCTTCTTCTTGAAGGAATACCGGGGCCTGATCTGAGAAGTGAACAAACAGGATATGAAAATACAGCAAGGACTAGTATGCTATCTTAACCAAGAGAGGTGCTTACAACAACGCCCTTGCTCTCCAAGCTTTTCATCATACAGTCAGTCAAAAATTCACCGCCTATCGGAGAAGTTGCCACAGACTGCCACATGAAAACAAGTTATAAAAATGGTAGAAGAAAAGGCTTCAGAAGATGCAAGGCAAAAGCGATAATAATGTTGCATATGCCAGAGTCCATATGATACAACTTAGCATTTTATTTTATCAAATGTTAAAGCAGCTTGGATTAATCAAATTTTCAAATGAAATGCAGAAAGTAAAAACAGGCAAATCACTACACCTCTCCTTGAAAATCAGGATAATGATAGCATAACATACCTTTTGCAAAACATAACCATCATGCACAGCAGAAACCACAGTAGACCCACCACCACTGCACCAAACATGATCGCTCTGTCATATTCCAGAAATTTCTATCATGATAAAGACCCAAAGCAGTAAAATTAAGATGAAATAAATTTGATATATGTTTGACACGAGCTTCTCCCAAGTCTTCATATGATAAGTTTCATAGCACTTCTTATGAAACGCTCAAGGAATCAAGAAGGTAACCTAAGCACGAAACCAGATTAAGGTGTTTAAATCAAGGAAAGTGAAAAAGGGAAATTCGAGCATTAACAGTTAGAACCAACTTCTTCATGAGTATTTCCTTGGTGTGGATGAACTGTTACACACTATCTGTGTTATGTGCAACGTATTGGTAAAAACAATTTACTTCAGACGTAGAGTAGCAAATTAAGAACCAAGCAGACACCACAACACAGTGGACTTGTTCATAAACTAATCGGGCTAACATAGCAAAAAAGGGACCTCATCTATTTCTAAGGAAAACAGCAGGTTGCAGAGATAAAATGTCATCAAGAAAATGCTGACCTGTCAACCACTAGAGATGTAGCACGTCCAGATGCAAAAGATGTGAGAACCTGATAACCCAATCAACAAGTAAGAATAATTAACTGGTTGTATTAAAGATTACTTCTGAGAGAGACATACCGCATTTTTTGCTAGGAACAGTGCTGGCACTTTGTACTTCTCAAACATAAGTTCTGCTGCTCTATAGGACATGAAAAATAAGAGTCAGGCTTGAAAGCATTGATATGGGTTAGCAATATAAATATTTTAAAAACAAAACATGCACACATACTTCTCTCTTTGCTGTGCACTGTTTATAGATGGTTCCGCTATGAGCATAGGATGCTCTTCAGGATTGATCAATAGCCGCCGTCTGAAATATAGAACAAGTCAGTGTGACAATATAGTAGATCAACAGAAATAGTAACTTCAACAAATTACATAGCATCGTAACAAGGAAATCCTTGTACTTAATCAACCTTAGCTGTTACAGAAGACATATGAAATAAAACAGGAGGGAAAACAACGATCATTTCTCGCATACCCACAAACTAAACAATTTCACAATCAGTATACTCAGCGAAATGTACACAGAATGTTAAATGTTAAGCTTGAACTAGTAACTTAATTGTAGTTCAGCTGGTGTCGTTGCTGATTATCGACGGACCGTGTTAAAGAGGAGAAATTGCTCAGAGCTGCATCAAGTAGATAAATAAATTTACCTAAAAGCATGATTCCATATGTTGTCAACAACATCCCAATCTGTAACTGTTCCATCTTTCATCGGTGAGATCACCTGTTTTGTGGAGGGGGGGACCAATAAGCGATAGTTAATAGAAATCATGAGTAACAAATCACCCTTAGAATGTGCGGTCACTAACCTCCATATGATCCCTCCTGAATTCTAATTCTTGACCTACATAAAATTTGCGTTTTGTCTTGGCTTTGTCCACATCCATAGGCTTGGATCCATTCTTAGGATCAGATGCAGAGTCAGCCTCCTTCTCTGGCTTAGCTTCATCAGTATCTTCCGCTTGTTCAATTGAACCAACAACCTTAACATATCAAAACAAGATACTGAGTGTGATAAGTTGTGCTGCCCAAAACGTACCAATTAGGTAGCTCACATAACCTTGAACCAACAAAAGAACAACATAATTCCCAAGCACTGGTCAGGGCAAGCAGAAGAAAACGAGCTAAACCCAAACATGGCATTAAGTGGCCAAATTCAAACCATTTTCTTAGTGCGAATCACACAGTATTTTTCGTTTTTCTTTGAATTTTTTTACACCGCTTATTGCATCAGAAACAGAGTGAAACTAGTAATTTACTGCCAGACTGCAAAAATTAGACAATAATCCCACTAACACTTGAAATTCAGCTCTTTTTTTGTTTGACTCACAGTGTATGTAAGAAATGCTCACAGTAATTAATAACACTAATAGCTAGCGGCAAATCTGAGCCATTAGAGCCTGAATCATGAACCGACTATGTAGATTATAAAGATTGCACACCCTACGCTCAAACTAACAGGTAGGTGCAGGTCCCATCGCATTTTATTGATTCGATGCTTGAAGTCAACTTCGGATTAAAGTGGCTACTTATATTTGCAGAGTAGGGCGTGCCTGCTACAAAATTTGCAATTTGGCCCACTATGGCAATTAACTGACAGTAGCAAGCACACCATGTCTGAACCAGAACCCAAGGCTGTCGATTCGAAAACTTAGGAATGAAGCACCAATTTGTCCATCACCAGCACAAACTTGCGCGGTTGTAATGCACACAAATTCAGCACTAAGAATCGGTTCCCCTCCGAGTTCAACGAACTAAAACAGCCTGCAATTCGAACAGTATGAGGGCGGCAGGGGAAGCTCACCGAGGGGAAGACGGATTTGGGGGTGTCGTCGCCCGCGTATCCGGCCTTGCAGCTGTAGGAGCCCACGTCGATGACGATGGCCGAGACCTCGTCTGCGGGGGGAAGAAGTTAGCGGCCGCGCGGCGGGAGATCTCCAGGGTTTAGTTAGGGTTTAGCAGGGGCAGGGGCGAGAGATCTTACCGCCGCCGTACATGGCTGGAGATCCGGAGAGGCAGGGCTCGGCGAGCGGGGGCGGGGGCGGGAGCGGCGCGGCGCGGGGCGGGTCGAGGGCCGGATGTAGG